GATCTGGGTGATGGTATAGCCATTATATCCACAACACAGACTCAAAACACTGAAAACATGAGATCTAAGCTGAAACCACTAAAACTTTGAAATGTGCCTGTCAAGTTGATGAATAGGGGTTTGGGGGGCTGATGGGGCAGGGGTTGGAAGTAGGAATGGAATATGGGAACACTGGGGGGGGGGGAACGTTAACACTGTTGTTGGGATTGGTTTTATAATATTATATGCCTAAAACCTAACTACCAATAATTTTCTTTTCCTTTTTTGGGTCACATTTGGCAATGCTCAGGGGTTACTCCTGGCTCTGTACTTGGAAATTACTCCTGGCGGTGCTCAGGAGACCATATGGAATGCTGGGGATTGAACCCGGATTGGCTGTGTGCAAGGCAAATGCCCTACCCGCTGTGCTATTGCTCCAGCCCCTGACAATAACTTTTTAAATCACAGTTCTTTAATTAAAATTATTTTTTTTAATTAAAAAAGGAAGGTAGATATTTCCATTGTGTTGGCTCTCCAAACCTGGGCAGGTCTGCCAAAAGTAATGGTGACTAGTATACATGGTGCTGCTTGAGAATTGTTTTACTCTTGATCCTCCTCCTCCTGATTCTGTCCTGTGCCATGATTGACCCTTCAGTCACGCCAGACAGTGAGGTCTTACGTTTGATTTGTAGTTGACTTCTGCATGTGTATTAGCAGGGAGCAGTGTTTGCCAGTGTCTAGTGCTTGCATGTTCCATTGACAGTCCCAACACAACTTGTTGGAAGATACTTTTCTTTCTCCATTGTATGCTTTTGGCTTTTAAAACTGTAATTAATTGTCTACATATATCTCAGTTTATTTTTAGAGTCTTTATTCCATTTCAACTTTTATCCCAGTGCTGTACTGTTCTTGTACTGATTTTTGGTAGTGTGTGAGGTTAGGGCATATGATACTTGTGTTAGAGTTTTTTTTACTCTCAGAATTTAACTATGTTAATTCTTCCAGTTCATGTGCACAGAGCATCTTACAAAGCACTTAAGTCTCAGGCATCTCCCTGACTTCAGTTTTAAGTTGTTTTTCTTCTGTTTGCCAGCAGTGCAGGGTCAGAGAGATAGCATAGGGGATAAGGTGGTTGTCGTGTACTTAGCTAGCCCCCTGCTCACTCCTCTGCATCACATATGGTCACACAAACACTGCCCAGTGTGATCCTTGAGTAAAGAGCCAGCCAAGAGTTAGCCTTGAGCACTGCTGGGTCTGAGCCTTGAGTACTGCTGGCTCTGACCCTTTATGGAGGAAAAAAGCAACTTTTGGTATGAAACTAATTATACCCATGTTAGAAAGAAGTTCCACATTTTAAATACTTATTGAAGAGCAAATGTTTAAAATATGTATTCATCTTAAGTTGATAGAGAGAAAAACAAATATACTTAAGTAAACAGAATAATGGAATAAAGATGAAACCAATAAAACATAAATAAGAAAATTAATAAAAAGTTGATACTTTTAAAAAAAATTTTTATTAGTGAAACACCATGAGGTACAGTTGTAGACTTACACATTTTTGTGCTTGGATTTCAGTTATACAATGGCCGAGTACCCATCCCTCCACCAGTGCCCATTCTCCACCACCTCTGATCCCAGTATCCCTCCCACCCCCGACACCCCCATCGTACCCTGCCTCTGTGGCAGGACATTCCCTTTTGTTCTCTCTCTTTTTAGGTGTTGTGATTTGCAAAAGAGGCATTGAGTGGCAATCATGTTTGGTCTATAGTCTACTTTCAGCATGCTTCTCAAATAGAATTCATACAGCTCTGATTTTCACACACACACAGATTAAATTATGAATTTTAGGATTGAAGGCACAACATATAAGTAGAATGGTTACAGCTCTGATTTTCATGCACACACACACAAAGATTAAATTATGAATTTTAGGATTGAAAGGCACAACATACAGATCCTGTAGAGAAAAAATAATAAAGGAATATTATGAAAATCATACCAAAATATATTAAATTTTTATGATATAGTAAAAAACATGATCACTGTATCACTGTCTTCCTGTTGTTTGTGCCAGTAACATCTCTCTTCCTCGCAGCCCTGAGATTTTAGCAGCCTGTGCTTACTCGTCTTTCCCAATGATTGGAGGCTCTTTCAGGGTCAGGGAAAGAGACCTGTTATTATTATTGTTTTTGGCATATCGAATGCGCCACGGGGAGCTTGCCAGGCTCTGCCCATGAGGGCGGGATACTCTCAGTAGCTTGCCGGGCTCTCTGAGAGGCATATACATTTCTCTCTGTGATTTGTTACCTACTGTCTAACCCCTGTCAAATATGGTCTGGTAATTATGGAAAATGGGTAGGAAGTGTCTTATGATGAGTGGCCGCGCTGTCCAGAAAGCAGCCTGGAGTGGGGAGGTGGTTGGGTAGTGAAAGTCGGCTGCCGGGACTGGGTCCCTTGGGGCGGAGACGGCTCTCACCCACCCCACTCTGTGGCGCCCAGAGTAAAAACAGCCTGCACGGAGTCCACAGGAAAAACCATGATAGTACATGAAACAATTAACTCATAAAAGGAAAACATTAAAAGATTGTATACATAAATATTTTATATAAGTGAAGCTTTCTTAGCTGTGTACCCACAGCATGATCCATAAGAGGAAAAATGTTAAATTGACCTTTCTCAAAGTAAAAGGCTTCAACTACTTCAAAACATACCATTAGTGAAATGAAAAAGCTGTTTGCTAGGGAATATCCACAATGTATTTGTCTGATAAGATTTTATCCATAGTATATAAAGAACTGTAGAAATTTGTGACGAGAACATAACTGACCTGACTTTTTAAATGTGAAAAAGAATAATATGCATATGGAAAAAATGCCTGGGCATTTTTTAATAGAATGATTTTTTAAAATCCATAATTAGATCTCATTTCCACAATAAAGTACAGTTTAAAACCGAGGCGATGAGGGTTGGTCCCACCTAAGGGTACCTGGGGCCTACTCCTGGCTCTGGACTCTTCAGAAAGTGCTCATGGGATTATATGTGATTCTGTGGATCGAACCAGAGATACGGCTGAATGCGAGGCACTCACCTTACCCGCCTCTTTAATATTCACCCAGGCCCAATTACAATTTTAAAAATACTGACCTAGTCCTGTGTATCAGTATTAGAGCTGCTTGCACAGGCATCAGGCTGAAAGTGTGATCCCTGGCATTGTTGCACAAGCCAGTGCAATCCCAGCTCCATCACGAGGTGTGTCTTCAGCACATAACTGAGTATGAGTACAACTGAGGTGTGCTACGTGTCTGCAAGCGTAAGCACCACAATCAAGTGTGTGGCCCTGCTTCTTACAACAGCAACAGGAAAAGAAGTAGAAAATGGAAAATAAAATAAAAATCTGCAGTGCTCAGTGTTGACAAGGATATGAATCCAGAGGATTCTATGTATATGGCTGATGGGGATATAAAATTATATATGTGGGGCTGGAGTGATCGTAGAGCAGATAGGGATTTTGTCTTGTATGCAGCTGACCCGGGTTTGATTCCTACCATCCCATCTGGTCCCCCAAGCACTGCCAGAAGTAAATTCCTTAGTGCAAAGCCAGGAGTAACCCCTGTGCATCGCTGGGTGTGACCCCAAAAAGCAAATTATATATGTACTTTGTATACGAATTTGCAGTTTCCTTAAAAATTAGGTATACATTGGTTGAACAAGCAGTTCTGCTATATACAAACTGTGTATTGTAGGTTTAGTCATTAGAAACAAGTCAAAATTGCATTCTGTAGGTACATGGAAAACATTGCAATGATGTGGCTCAGTTTTAGAGTGCATGATTAATCTGTGTGAAGTTTTACAGAAAAAAAAACTCTACATATTAAAAAAATTATTTGATCTTTGCATATATCATTGCTCAGCTATCACAAGATATAGACTACAAGTGTACACAGAAACATTGAGGAATCCAAGAAGTATGATTCTTGAAAGACTAAAGAATATATTTATACCAAATATATTCTAGACTCCATTTATAGCAAACTATAAAATATAAATCTAATAGTGAAGAAAGAACTTTGAATTTTCTGAGAAGAAACCACTAATGAATCTTTGAGAGGATGAAGCCTTCTATGCACTGATGATGGTGGTCGTCAATATGCTTGTTCTTTAGATTCAGTGAAGATTAGTTCTAAATGAATATGTTTAACAGTAACAGATAAATATCTCAATAAATTTAGGGAAAAAACTCCTTTGACAGATATTATTTTGTGATTCAGATGTACAACGTTTGAGGATTGAACTGTAGATGCATGCTTTAGCTTTTTAAATGAACTTTTTTTACCTCTGCCACTTCCAGTTGCAAATCTGATTGTGAAAAAATAGATCTTCATTTTATGGTCAAGTTTATGAAAATAGTGAATGCCCTTGGGGAAGGCTAAATTATTATTGGGATAGAATTTCAAGTTTTAAGCAATATATGATAGTTTGTTGTATCACTCTATAGTGCTTGAAGATGTATCTGTAACTTTGACAAAGACTTGATTGTCTTTAATAGGCTGCACAAAGATAAGGTTTCATCTTCTACATGGCACAGGCTTGATAACATATAATTTGATGAAGATCAAACAACAAGTAGTAGAGAGTCTAGGAATCAAAGTGAGAGCTTCTAGCTTCTAATTGTCTCTCCACTGTTACAATTTTTTCCTTGAAAACACCATTTATTGCTTGTCTCACTTCTTCCTTATTTTAAAAGACGATATAGTAACTTTGACTTGTATACTAGGTAGAACTTGGATTTCTCTCTAGATTGAAGTTTTAAATGTTGATAGGTATATTTCCATATTAAGCAGAAATACTCTGGAGCATTCATAGAGTGATCTGAAATAATTATCATGCCTGTGGGATAAACTTTGAACTTTCTTTTGAGTTTCATAAAATAGTATAAACAGTTGCCAAACAAATTATGTATTTGACTATCTTTCAGTGCTGTTTAACATACTAATTTATGTCATTATGATAATTTTCAGGCTAAATAAACTTGAAGATACTATTATACTAATTAAGGGAAAGATTGAAGAAGTTCATCTTCCGGTGGAAAAAGTGGATGTTATTATATCTGAATGGATGGTAAGTATTTGCAGAAATAAATACTGTTTAAGGAGAAAGAAAAATTGGTAAGGGTGATTTTTTTCCTGCATTTTTTAAATTGTTTTTTTTGTTGTTGTTTTTGGTGCTGGGGATCAAAAGAGAGACCTTATACATGGAAACAAGTGTTGTGCCACTGAGCTGTAACTGACCTCTGCATTTAATTATAATTTATAAATGGCACAATGATGATTTATTATCATTTGTGTGTGTGAAGCCAAATAGTTTTATTGAAAGAAATTTACTCAGAGAAGTAAGTAGAAGGAGGGAGAGAGAGGGGCAGAGAGAAGGAGAGGGAGGGAGAGAATACTTTTAAAAAGAACATTTTAGTTTTGGCCTGGAGTTCTCTGGATTCATAAAAGTTTATCTGGGTATTGTCATGGAGAAAGACTTGTCTCTAGATTATCCTTTCATATTTTATTTTGTTTGTTTTGGGGACACACCTGGCAATGCTCAGGGTTTACTCCTGACTCTACTCAGAGATTACTCTTGGTGGAACCTAGGAAACCTTATACATGCTTGAGATAGGACCTGTGTTTGTCACGTGCAGTGCAGTGACCCTGCTCGCTGTACTGTCTTTCCAGTTCCCAATTGTGTGGTATTTTCTCATCACGTTTAAATTGCAAAAGAAGTTCACTCTTTCAGCATAACAGTGCCTATTTGTAGGTTCTGTTTTAAGAAAAAATTTATTAAAATTCTTTTGCCCATTTTGTGTTACTTGTTCTTTTTTAAAAATTGATTAGTGTTCTGTGTTGGAGATGTACATATGTTCAAAATATTTTTTAAATTATTTGATTTACTTTTTTTCTACACACTTTTTGATGAATGAGGTTCTAAATTTCAGTGTCAATTTATTGTTTATTTTCTCTGTACTTCTTTGTACTTCATCCTCCTCCTGGACATGAAAGTGTTTTCTATAAACTTTGTATCTGCAGTTACAGTCCCAGAAAAAGCACTTTTATAGTCTTTCTCCGAGGTGGTTTGATGATTAGATTTGAAAATTTAATATGTACACCCCTTAATCCAGAAATTTTTCTTTAAGATATCTGTTTTTGATAGATACACAAAACTATGTGTATATACATTATTCAAACATTATTCTTGCACATTCTGTGACAAATAAATGCAAGGGATATTGGGTTTTTTTTTTCAGCCTGTCATCAGCTGCCTTGAATTGCCAGTGTGAGAGATATAACAAACACTCAGTCCCTGTAGAACTCTTGAGTAAGGAAAATGCCTTCTAAAGAGGATTTTACATAATTACTTTAGAAACTTTCATGTAACTTTATTATCAACTTTGTGATAAAGCAGTTAACTGTTGTGTAAGAGTTAAGTGGCAGTCTGAAGCATCACAAACAAAGTGACATTTACTATCCAAGTGTTTGATGTTTCTAATGAGACAGTAGATGGTAATCTACATTCTGTATCACTGTATCACTATCATCCTGTTGTTCATCAATTTCCTCAAGCAGGTGAGCAGGCACCAGTAACTTCTCCTGTGTCCTAGCCTTGAGATTTTATTTTTCATTATTTTTTTTTTATGTAGGAGTACTGCTATTTATTCTGCCACTGATTAGCTGATTGAATTGTGCATGAACTCCACCTTACTTTTTTTAAATTTTTTATAATTTTATTTATTGAATCACTGTGAGAGCAGTTACAAAGCTTTCGGGTCTAAGTCTTGGTCATACAACGAAACACACGTACCTTCACCAGTGCCAATTCTCCGCCACCAACAACCCCAGTATACCCCCCATCCCACACCCTCCCCTTACCTGTGGGGCAGATGATTTCCACATTACTCTCTCTCTGCTTTGATCACATTCAATATTTTGACACCAGACCCACCATTATTATTTGAGATTTTACCCCAACACTCAGATCTGCTGAAAAAGAAACAGTAGACAATTTGTGTTCTATTGCTGGTTATGAATAACATATGATGTCGCATGGCTGTAGTAGTGGCCGCAAGATTTTGAAATTCCAAAATTTTAACATGTAAATCTGGAGGGATTTCTGCCAAAACCTGCTGGATTCCAAGATTTGTTCCTGAGTCTCTGGGATCATGGCCATTAAGCAGCTTGATCAGGAGCCAGAAAGGCCGTTCATGGGCGATGACTTAGGGTCTCGTTGGGACAGGGAGGACAGGACCGGCTCCACCCCCATCCCTTGAGGCCCCAAATGTCTCGCCACTGTGGGCCCAAACCTGACTGTCCAATGGCCTCTGGAGGATGACGGCCACCAAGCCGCCTGGGGGAAGCAGGCGGAGGGATAACACCCTTTCCCCCCTGGGGTGGCCCGGCAGCAGGGGGTGGCCCGGCAACAGTAACCTACTGCGTAGTCTGGATGCATTTCTGCCAAAAGCCACTGGGTTTCGAGATTTGCTCCTGAGTCTCTGGGATCATGGCCGTTAAGCAGCTTGATCAGGAGCCAGAGAGGCCATTTGTGGGCGATGACTTGGGGTCTTGTTGGGGTGGAGAGGACAGGACTGGCTCCACCCCCATCCTGTGAGGCCCTGAGTGTCTCATCACTGCAGACCCAAACCTGACTCTCCAGTGGCCTCTAAAGGATGGTGGCCACTGGGCCGCTGGGGCAACAGGCCAAGGCACGAAACCTATTCCCATCTGGGTTGGCCTAGCACCATTAACCTACTGCAGGGACCATACGCATTTCTGCCAAAAGCCGCTGGGTTTCGAGATTTGTTATTGAGTCTCTGGGATCATGGCCATTAAGCAGTTCAATCAGGAACCAGAGAGGCCATGCCTCCAATTATATAGCTGAGCCAGAGGTGGTTTGTGGTTGTGTTTCCCACATACCTAACTTCTGGCCGTTTACTTTCTTGGTAAACTTTGCCCCAAGTTTTTGGGGTCTGGCCAAAGGCACAGCAGCAATTTTGGGGTATCTGGAAGTCTGAAGGCTTCATCAGGCTGCTGATGCACTCGCCTCACAGGTACAGATTGACCTGTTGGCGGCATCATATTCCCAAGCTAGCCCTGAGATTTTAGAAAGTGCCACTTTCGAGGCTCTTTCAGGGTCAGGAGAATGAAACCCATCATTGTTACTGGTTTTTGGCATATTGAATACGCCATGGGGACTTTGCCAGACTCTGCCGTGTGGGCAGGATACTTTTGGTAGCCTGCCAGGTTCTCCAGAGTAAGAACTAGATAATAAGACGCAGCCGTGCGCTTCCTGGAGCTCGGTTTTATAGTCTCTGGGTCTTGGCTGTTGATGGGATTACACGGCACTGGGGGCAGTTGGTGGGTGTAACACCTACATACTGGAAGGTGGGGGGATCTGGGTGGAGGAGGACCCAGTCCCAATCCGAGCAGGGTTGGAGATCTATGCCCTGGGTCCCACACACCTGGGTTCCTCTGCCAGTTCCTTCATGCATGAGGCTTATCTGAACGTGTGGAGAGTGGTCTTAAGCATGGCTGTGACTGGAACCAGAGGTCTTGAGCTGCTGGGGCTCTGCTCGGGGTGGGGAGGGAAACTCAGCCCACCCTCTCCAAGGGGCCCCGGTAAGGACAGCCAGACGCGGAGGCAGGAGACTACGCTGTTCTCTCCCGGGAGCTGGGTTTTATAGTCTCTGGGTCTTGGCCGTTGATGGAATTACACGGATCCGGGCGCTGTTGGTGGGTGTAATGCCTACATACTGGAAGATGGGGGTTTACAGGATGTAGACTGTAAACTCTTCAATTTATAGTAAATAACTCGGTCTTTTAAGTGAGTTCATACTATCAAGATGGTATGGGCCATAAAGGAATATTTTCCTTAAAAGTGACATGTTTACAGTTTATTCTGTCACATGAATATATAATCAAAGCTTCTTTGACCAACTTAAATTTTATACTCCAAATTAACAATATCCTGTATTCTTTTTATGTAATTCCTGCTAGATCCCTATGTCTACATGAATATTTAAGTATAGTAAGCTATCTTCAGCATGCTGCCAGTTTTCTGCTCTTGGCCTGTCCATATATCCCCAAAACTTCTAGTGTATTAATATTGTCAAGTATGTTAAGACATACTTGTGACAAGTATGTTAAGAAATGGTGTTTGAAAATATGTAGTAAGTAAAAACAGTTTTTGAAGTCTAGGAATAAGAGAGTAGAAATTAGGCAATTCAACAATTCCCCACTTGGCCAGTGCCCTAATATAATTAATAAATATTTTTAAACTGAAAGCTGAATATTATTTGCCCATTTTTGAGTGTGTTTCACGCAAGGAAGATAGTGAAAATTCTGTTGGCGCTGTTCTCTTAAAGTCCCGATAAGTCTACATTTGTGTTTTCATTATGATCATGTGTTGTCGTCGTCGTTGTTGTTGTTGTTGTTATTATTATTATTTTATTGAATTACCAAGAGATAAACACAAGGCTGTTCATGATCGGGGTTCAGTCATGTGATGTTCCAACACCCATCCCCCCACCATTGTCCATTTCCCACCACCATCGTTTTAAAGTAGTAACTATTAGCCTCAATCACATTGGTAATACTCTATGGTAAACCATGTAGAATTGAGAGTATTATAAAATATATAGTCATTGTACTTCAGAAGTATACTAAAAATGTGGAATTAGAGTTCATAGTCCTTACTGTAATTTTTTTAAGCAATTCAGATTATTACTTGTCACTAGACTTTTTACAGATAAATTCCTTATTTTATTTGTACCATTCTCTTTGTCTCTTTGAGAGTTTATGATTCAGATATTTCAGCTGAAAAAAATTAGACAAGAGAAGCATCTGCACTGAAGGTATCAAAGCGTTTTATTTTTTTATCATTGATTTATTCTTTTTTTTCTTTTTTCATTAACTTATTCTTAAAAATGTATCAGTACTTCATTCCTTCTCATGTCTAAACATTCATTTTAATTGTGGAAATTTTCTTCACATGAAGAATGTGTGTAAGTAGAAAAAAAATCTTAAACCTAAGGATAATATTGGCAAGATTCATAAAAAAATTTATTTCACAATAAATTCCAG